CAGCATTCCCACAATGTCAAGGCAAGTTTGCAAGTTAGAGATGTTCACTGCCAATTTGTTACAACTGGGAGCCTCATGCACCACCAAGTTCCTACACTGATTCATTCCCGTTCTCATTCACAGCCACAATGCACTTTACAAGCAAATTACCACCACCTAGTGAAAATAAAGGTCCTGTTTTGGTAACAAGTAAGAATGCTTGAACTTTCTGTTTTGAATTCTTGAGGACAGAATTTCATTCATTTGACAAAATTATTCAGAAGTCTAAGAAACACAAAAGTGGGTTTTGTAAATTTTGGGCTAACTTGCCTATGACCTGAATGCATGCAACTAGCAAAATCAGTTTATTACCTTTATTTTTCCTCAGACCTTGACTCTAGCATAGAACAGTTAGCTCCTGCCACCTTGTGGGAATTCACAGATTTCCCTGAAAGTTTGTATCAGTAAGCTAGTGAGTTAAAACAAATAAACATTCAAGATTTACTTTCCTGGTGATTTATCCTGGTGAATGTTGAAATAAGAGAGAAATATTTATGGAGAGGGTATGCCATTTTGAATATTTTCTAGTTCATTATCCCTAGCATTGTTTATATAGTTGAATTGCTGTATTTCAGAGTCTTATGGAGGGTGTTTTAAATATTTAAATACCTGTCAAGAATCCTAAGTTTTGGAAGCTGATGTATCTAAGTTTAAAATAACACTATGATCAAATACTTGTCACCCCTAGTAAATTTCACATACTTGACACAGATTCTACACAGAAGTAATACAAATTTAGGCTAAGAATCTTTGCAGTCAGGTGCAGTTTTGTAACCAAATAATAATCTCAGTCTCATAAGGAATTATGTATATGTTTAACTTTTAATATGGTCATAACATGCCTAGTTCTCACAAAAGATCTGATTCCATGTGTTTACTTTTTAACTGTAATTTTGTATTTTACGTTTTTCCTCTCCTCATCCCCCTTCACTTCTATTATACGTGGCCAACTTAATGAATGAGTGAAGTTCCCCAAAGAAGAATAAGGCCATTGGAATGGAAAAACTTTATCACCACAGTAACACAGTAAAGATGCCTGAATCTTCCTCCTCGTGTCTTACATGTTATCTACTACCCCTCAGACAGGTAACTCATCACACCTACTTCATGGAGGGGGAAAAGACAAGAGCAGCAGCAATCAATGAGAAAGGATGAGGTCCTCTTTATTTAAGCAAAACCTCTGCTGCTTCAAATCTCAAAAATGAAAAAGCACAGAGGACTGCAGAGAATGTGACTCCATGAACCTGATCAACAGCCTCAATGAAACCGCTGCTTTCTATTCTTGGTGCTAAGTGATTTGTTACAGGTGCCCAGAAAGCAAGAACAGTTAGTGAGGAGCACTTCTTCCCACCTCAACATCCCACAACTGCTTCAGTGAACTTGCTGGAGATCTACCGCACTGCGTACTTGATGCCAACTGTATGAAACTTAACTCCTTGGAACTTCCTCCTGCTAAAGGAAAAACTGTCAGACTCAAAACAGGAACAAATCACCTCTAGTAAAGGCCCTAGTAGATCATAAATAAACTCAAGAACAACAATTACAGATCCCAGCTAAAGGAAATACATCGTGAATGTCTTTTTCAATCCATAAACAAATTGAATTTTTGCTCAAGACTGAAACAATGACAGTGTCAGGCTATGAATCAAGTCGGCACAGTGCATCTGAGGGACAGAAATTGTATGTTCTTAAATAAAAAGTTTCATGATCTCACAAGTTTCCCTGGTAACTTCACAAGGGGGGTTGTTTCTGACAGCCATCATATTCCCCACACACAACTCCTTATCACCACCTATATATTCATAAAGTCCTAACAGGCCACACAATTAACTTACAAGGCAAAGTTCAGGTATCCATGACAATCTCTGACCACACCTCAGCTCCAGTACTGAGAATCTCTCCCAGACTGAGGTGTGTCTGTGTCCTGACTGTCTGGAAGATACCAAAATACTCCTCAGAGTTGTCCTTACCCATCCCAATCTCCACTACAGGAAACCCACAAAGACAAACTAGCAGGGAGCTCTAGAAGAGAGTCATCAACCTGGATGTTCAGGGAATCAGAACTGTAAGGCACACTCTGCCTATCTCAACACAGCCAGCACCTTGCAAGGACAGGACATGCCAGGTACCACTATTTTCTTACCTCCCCCTAAGTATTAGGAATACACACACCTCCTTATCCAGAGCTATTTGGTTCAGACTTTTCCCTGCTACAGAGCACCTGTAATTGCAGACATGTATCTAAGGGCCACCTTCAGTCCTTGGCTACAGGACAAAAGAAATAGCATGCTCTAGCAACAGAATATATCAGATCCAATACCCACTGCAGGTCTCAGTAACACCATAAAGCACAAGAAGAAAATACTAGGATACTACATAAAATTCCCCTTTGATGCAAGTGAATCATATCTAGCCATATCCTCTTATTTTCATTTTGTTTCTCTACTAATCCTACATTCTGCAGTGTTACTAATCCAGCAGGAAGATACCTGAACTAACTTTCTGCTTGCCCACATGCCCATAGCAGTCTAACTGCAGTACCAGGGAGCCAAGCTAGGACCTTTTCTTCAGGATACTTTGAAACCACTGGAAGTACAAACACAGTTTTTATACTCTTAAGTAGACAACCCCTTCTTGGTAAGTGTAACGTCGTTGGACCTGAAAAAACACAACTCCCAAGGAGCAGCAGAATGAAAAATACCTGATGATTTTCAGTTCTCACTGTTGTCCACAACATTCCAAACACCAGCAGTCAAAACTGATCAGCATTAACTTTGCCTAAAGTTGTGAGTTCTTCAAGGAGACAAACATCTGGTCCAGGTCAAGCAAGTGTCATGACATGGTTTGAGCATGGTTCCCATCTGAAACCTACTCCCTAACTGCCAGGGTAAGATTTGTTTTACTTTTTCTCAGCATATTTATTTTTCTACAAAAACTTTATTTGACTTTTGTAAATTTCTATTGAGGGAACTTTCCAAGAAATTACACAAATTGATTATTGCATTCATGTATTAACTGTAGGAAGAAGTATTTAAAAACAAACAAAAACTCCAAACCAAAATAAACATTATTGGGCATTTACTCCTTCTGTTTTTTATTTTATCTATATCCTTATTGATCTCCTTTCACTGTCATCTGTTTAGCCTTACATTTCTAGGAGAAAAGAGGAAAGTTCTGAATGTCTTATTTCTTGAGAAACACCTCTAAAAAATCACTCAGGTTACAGAATTTACAAACTTCTGTATGTAACCAGCCATATCATATTTCCAAGCGAAACCTCCCTGCTTCATGAACCGGAATACACAATCAGATCCATCTTCACCATTGTTTCATTGATGCCAAGCCACAACAGCTTACCCAGAACTGTGCACGTGCCCAAGGATCTGTGCCAAAAAAGGCCCCGGAGCAGGATCAGGTCCCTGTAAGATTAGCTGCATGTAGGGCTTCAATCCTGCAACTGCAGTAGCTCAGGGAGACTGTGTGACAGGGGCATTGCAGGACTGGGCGCTAAAATAATCAAGTATATAAAGATCTTTGTCCTCTCCACAACTGAAGCACAATTCTTAAAAATGAACTGAACAAAAAACTTTTGTATTTGTGAAATAAAAATCAATTCTTTGGGTGACAAGCAGGACCAGTATTCTTCAGGCCAAGCTCCTTAAAAATCTATAGGTCATTTTCCCATTTTTTTGTTTTCTTGAGGTTTGTTCAGAATTTGGTTTTTGGTTGTTTTGTTCTTCCCTTAGGATACATATTTTTATTTTAGCAATTCTTTCTCATCTCCCTCAGATGAAAATCCTACAGGGCCCCTGTCTTAAAGATATAAGCCCAACACAGGAAAAATTCAGTCCAAAAGACGCAAGTTTGTCAGCTTTTAAAGAAGGGTCAGCAGATAGTGCTGGTTGGAACTGTAGAGCAAGGATAGGGGATAACTTCCTTAGGATCTACAGATTTTTACCAATTATCTTCTTAGCTTTCTATTATTTTATTTCACAGTACACCACACAGATGGGTGATTTGAAATCAGAAGGTGAACAAGATATTAAAGAGTTTTCAGTGAAATCAAGTTCTGGAATGCTCAAGACTGTGTACCAGAGAAAGTAGCACATGTTTAAAACCCTAGGTTGGCACAAAAAGTCCACAGTTCTGAACTGTACTAGCCTGAGAAATGAAAGCACAAGATCCATGGATTCTCAGTCTAATCTGCTTTGAAAGATAGTCATTAGGCTTCCTCGTTACTGATCTAGTACAAAACTACATGTTCAAACTTGGGACCTGAACTACAAAGTACCCCACAAAACCCCACACTGCCACAATGCCAACCTCCTTCCAGGCCAAGCTCTTACAGTAAGAAGCTCTAGATAGAGAGCTGAACTGAACACACTGAAATACACAGGTACAGACCAAGACTGACTTACAAAGTCCTTCTGAGCAACAGGACTTTTTATCTTGTTCTTGGAACAAGCATAAAAATGTTTCTATCACCTTCACACATCTCAGGCCACAAATAAAACATGCCTGTGCATCCTTGCAAAAGTCACTTTCAGAGAACTAGGAAGAACAGAGGGCAATATTCACACAGCATCGAGTTAAGAAGAGACTCTGGGTTGGAAGAACAAAACCCCAGGCCCAAAAGCTCTGACCTGCAAGGTTATTTTTCCATCATGCAGCACGAGCTCTTAAATGTAGATGAAGAATTCTGAGTTGAACCTCGATGTTAACACACTTCACAAGTATGTAAGTTCACAACTACTTAACCAGTAAGCCTGAAGTCAAAAGACAACAATTCATCATCGTTTTTTTTTTACCTACCAATATGGAGAAAGTAATGTGCACATACACACAGCAGACGCTTTAGTAACAAAGAGGTAGCTGGTATAGTACGTTTAACAGTCATGTAGAAACTGCCAGGAAGTTCACAAATTCTGTACTTTATTCTGCCATCAGTCATCTGGTCTTACCTGAACATCCCTGGGTCTACTCTGCAATCTGCAAAACGGGGGCAGGTAGCACTGGTTCTGAAATATTTGTAAAATGTAGTTAGTTGATGCCTGTAAAAGTACACAACAGAACAGCAAAGTGTTATTACACCCTAACAATAGGCTGTTTAACAAAATATCTAACATATAAATGACAACAACACCTGTGTTCTACAGTACACACAAAGACTTTGTTTATGTATCTGTTTAGAAAGTGAATTGTTTTGACTCCATTAGAACGAAATTCTAATAGTCAATCTGAAGTCCACCTCTCCAGAGAAGGAAGTAGGCATCTTTTTCTATATCTTCATAAACAAACAAAACAGTATAAAATTTTCCCCAAGTATTACATCATCACTACAATTAATGTAACTGCCACTTTACCCTATAATAGGGTCAACCCATGGTAAAAAACAAACAAACAAAAAAACAAAAAACCACAAATAATCTGGACAACTTTTCTCAACTTTCTGCCCTGCTACTCACTACTAAATTTTTCTTTCAGACTGCACAACACTTTACAAAGAAAGAAGCCATCACTATCCCAAGTTTGCAAATGAAGAAACAGAGAAAGAAACAGGCAGCAATCTACCCAAGTGCATGAAGCAAGTTAATGGCAAAAACTTCAGCACTAGCCAGTGGGTTTGTTTTTTTTACCCTGTTCCATATGGTACAATTTTCACCTTTTGCCAAAATCCTTGAAGGAAGCACTAACCTTTCATTTGGTCGTTAAAATATAAGTGCAGAGTTGGAATTATTTTCCCTCATTCCTCTGAATATATTTGAGCCTAAATGGTAAATTGTACTAGATAGAGCATTGTGTGTGCCCCAGGTCATTTTTCAAGAATTTCACTCCTTGCACCATTAAAGTATAATTTTTTTGCACTATTCTATGAATTTGTCTACCTTAGAAAATAGTCTTGCTTCAGCTGTACTAGAAGACAGTTGGATCAAGTACTACAGCACCAGGACACAAGTCTATACACAGCAAGTGATTTTTTTTTTGTGTGTGCACTTCACTTTTACTCCAATTATAACAGCATACCTCGAAAGGCTAAAAAGTAAACTAACCTAAATGCACACACGTCTTTGTGAAAAGGATTTTAATGCTTTATTTGGTCTCCACAGTTGAAAAGGTTGTAGTGGCACACTGTACCTTTACTCTAAGGTAACCACACACTTTCAGGTACATTTGTAAAACAGGAAAATTCACACCAATCACTAGTGTCATTATACTGGTAAAGTACAGATGATCCTTCAAGAAACCTCAATGAGATTCATGAAGTCAGAATTTTTTTCCACTGAAGTCTAAAGCAAATTTCCTACTGAATTGAGCATGCCAGTGATTAGACCTAATGGGGCACAGCTCCCAGGAAGACAGCAGCTCTTCTCTGGATGGGAGGTGGGGGAATCACATACATGGTTAACTGCCCCCTTCACTTTTGGGTGGGTGGGAGAAGCCATACTTGGGGAAGTGATGAAATCTGTTTTGCAGACAGTGCACAGTATCTATGCTTTGCAAAGGACATTCCCCTGCAGTTTATCTTATGTACAAATTCAGAGTGCTCAGGCTAAGACAGGGCACCTGCCTTCCCACTCCCTCTATGCATGGCTAGAACTGCCAGGAGAGCAGACTGCTTAGCAGAAACATTAGTTTGGTTCAGCACTAGCAGAAATGCTTCTGGTTGTGATGATCCAATTTTTTAAGTTCCTAAGTATAATACTATTCGAAAAAAAGAGACCACCCATCATCTAAACATGGACTGTTGGTGGATTATTTCACTGAGTTGATCCATCTAACTCTTTAAAGAAAAGAAAGAAAATGAGTTTTATTTGCAGCGATGGGACACCACCACCAACTCCCCCAAACAAACAAACAAAAAAAAAAAAAGAAAGAAAAAGAAAGAGTGAGGGACATTCTTCCAATCAAGTGTAACTCATGCAGTTACAGCAACATTTTAAACACACACTGCTTCTAGCTGGTTTTGCCACAATCCCTGTGACTAACGCAGCCAAATTCTGTTCAGCAGCCTCAGTGGAATTGCACAAGCTTTTATCAACTCTGATTTCAGACCAAAATGAATTTTACATCCAGATCTTTTAGCTTGACCAGTAGCCCATTTCAATGTAACCTAGCAGGAAAACACTGCTTAGCACATGCTAAGTAACAGGTTTCTCTGAGATCTCAGACAGAACACCATCAAAGATATGAATTCTCCAGAGAAAATCTTGGCTCAAATACTTATTTTCTGAAAGGAAAGAAAGTCTCAACATTTCACATGTCTAAGAGGGAGTGTGTGTGTGTGGGGGGGGGAAAGCAGCAAATTAGAACAAGAATAATTCAATCCTATGGAAATGCAGTAACTATAACACTCTGTTGCATTATAAAATCATAAAATGGTTTAGGTTGGAAGGGACCTAAAAGATCACCTAGTTCCAGCCTCCAGGTGTCTTTGCCATGGGCAGGGATGTCTTTCACTAGACCAGGTTGCTCAAAGCCCCATCCAATCAGGCCCTGAACACTTCCAGGGATGGGACAATCACAACGTGCAGTTACCATCACAGTAAAGAATTTCTTCCTAATATCTAATCTAAACCTACTTTCTTTCAGTTTGAACCCATTTCCTCTCGTCCCATCACTACATGCCCTTGTAAAAAGTCCCTCTCCAGCTCTCCTGCAGGCCCCCTGAAGTACTGAAAAGCTGCTGTAAATTCTTCCTGGAGCAGTCTCTTCTCTGGGCTAAACAATCCCAACTCTCTCAGTCTGTCCTGATAGGAGAGATGCTCCAGCCCTCTGATCAACTTCCCGGCCCTCCTCTGGACTCGCTCCAACAGGTCCATGTCCTTCTTATTTTGGGGACCCCAGAGCTGGATGCAGTACTCCAGGTGTGGTGTCACAAGAGCACAGCAGAGGGGGAGAAGTAAAGCATTCTGTTTAAACACGTTAAACAAGAGCTGATTGTTTTAGGGCAGCTAAAAACATGAATGCTTCAGCAATAAACAGCTTCTATCCAAAAAGTTGCCTAAATATGTGACTACTATATTTTCTTACTGATCTTGTACCAAATGTACACAAAAATGAAAATTATGACCCTTTCAGGTTAAGTGATTCATCTTACATTGGCTTGTTCTCTTAAGAGTAGGTAGTACTCAGTAATCTTCCAATTTCAATTTTTAAGGAAGGTTTTCTTTTCATTCTTTATAAAAATCGACTGTTTTAAACATTTGGGACCTGCAATAGCCTTTGCTTCTATTTTCTTCTAATTTCTATGTAGCTTTCTAATCTTATCTTTATATATTTAGTTATACAAGACCTCAGTAACTGCTGAAACTTTATGTAGTGAATACCCTACACTTTGATACAAAAGAATACGGAAAAACAAGACAAAGACAGGATCATGAAACCTATGTCTGCCCCACAGAGAGGCCATAAAACCACTTCTTGAAGTGTGTAACTCCTCCTTTGGCGGGCAGCGGGCAAAATAGCAATATATGAGTAGCTTGTATAACTGTGTCACCAGGCCTCAGACACACTACACATTTCTGAGCACAACCCTTCTACTACCTGAGGTCTAACTCTGCATTCCTTACTGGTCACAGAAACTGCTACACAGTTCCCCTGCTGCAGAAAACCCGCTTGGAGCTGCAGAGTCAATACATGTTATCAAGCTCTTTGACTGCTCAGATGCTATTAAATATTTTGGTAGGGTGGGGGTTAGAATTCTTTACTCATGTCAGCCCACAGACTTGCTATGGCATATTTACCAATTTATTTTTTTTAAAATTTATTTTTTTTTCCCATCTAATACCTTAGTAATACATGAATCATCTAGTAACAACTTGGTTTCACTTTTCGGTTTCTGGTCACCAGTACTGCTAGATTCCTCCCTGGATGTTGTAAAGTATACTCACTCTCACGTACTGAGAGCGCAAATTAAAGTCACAATCACACACATTTAGTCTAAAGGAAAGCTTGCAACAGCAATTTTAAAATAACCAGGTTTTTTAATATTAAGTACATATCTGTGTAAACAGACAGGTATCTGTTCATCTTAACATCCTTTACATCCATATATGTTTTAGAAGCTACAGAGGTGTCTAGCTCCCACAAAAAAAGGTTAACATGGCCACAGTGTTACCTAGTGAGCTACTCTGCATTCCTTTATGGTGGAAGATACTGCCCAAGGCTTCTGCTATTACAGACAGAAACTCTGGATAATAGATAATGAAGTAATCTAAAAATATATATTCAGGTTCACAGAAATAGATATAGTTACAAGCAAACTCCTTCTGAACAAAGAAATCATATTAAATTTCAGATGTTATTGTTGCTAAATGTATTTTAATAAAAATACCTAATTGCAATTTGCCTTTAAATTATTACAAACCAATGTTAAATTCTACTTTAATATTACATAACTCAATTTATATTAAATTAAAATAAATTGCAAATGTTTGATGTCAAAACTGTAAACAAAGCTCAAATACTCAACAGGTAAGTCTTCAGCGAGGTACTAAGAACAAGTATTAGGTTTAGAACTAAGTTACCTGAAAGTAGCACCGTTCACTGCCCTTGCAGAGTCTTTGCTCCATTAAGTCACTTAGTGGTGTTTGCTGTAAAGTTGAGAAACTAAGTGGGAATTGAAAAAGCAAGATCATTTGTTTTCCTTCTCATCTGAGAAAACAAAGCAGAGAAGTTTGAATTCTACTAGCTCTAAAAGTTTGCATTCGGTTAAGCAGAATGGGTTACCATATTAAGGATTATACTTTACTGATATTCTAAGTGTAAATTCTATTTGCATTTACTTGTGTGTACGTGTGTGTTTGTGCATGAGTGTGGCTTTAATAAATATGACATTTTTAAAAACCACAATTAAAAAAAAAAGGCATCATTTGTCATGTCCTAAATAAAAACTTTAACAGTCACAATCTAAACCAATGCATGTAAGTCCTGTAATCACTTAGTAAGTGTGCAGGCATATAGTGCATGCTCTGAACTAACAAAAAAGTAGTGCCAAATTTAGTGTAAAGGCTATATT